CCAGGTCTGCTGTGGCACCTCTCAGTCTGCCTCTCTGAAGGTGGTTTCCTGTGGGTAGGAGGGACTTAGGAAATCAGGATGATTGCCAGTCCTTAACATAGTCCTCATCTCCCCTTTGTGCCCCATCAACAGGGGTGCAACTATCAGCTCTGTCCCAAACTAAGATCACTGCTGCACTATCAGCCAAGAATAAGGCCAGGACACAATCAAGGTCTCTGTTGCCCAGCAAGGCATCCAGATCCCAGCAGCAGCTGACTCCAAAAGGCAACCAATGACTAGATCCAGAGCACAGTGGAGACCCCAGAAAGCTCACAGCCTGCTGCCAAGGCAGCACCACCAGCACACTGCCCGCCCACCAAGTGCCAAGTCAGCTGAGAGCCGGGGGTGGGCTTTCCCAGGCAAGGCTGGTACTCTCTGCCACCTCCCTCTCCCTCTCCCCCCTCTTCCTCCCTCTGCCACTTGTCTTGGCCTGACCCTGGCTTGTATCTTATCCATCCACCCTTTATGCTGGGGGCCACTGGGCAGGCAGGGAGCTGTGTTCTCTGGGGTTCTGGAATAAAGGCGTCTAAAGAGCAAAGGTAGTCACTCAATTAGCCGGGAAGGAGAACAACACAACAGCAGAGAGCAGGAGGCTGGGGCTGTTTTCTGTGGTCTGTGGGAAAGGCTGCAGGAAAGTAGCTTATTGTGCAGATGGAGGAATAACTGGTCCTGAGGAAGAGGTGGATCTCAGACCTCGAACAGATCTCTCTCCGAGAATGGTCCTGCAGGGCACCGACCCCAAAGGCCTTCCTCCAAAGGCCAGGCAGAGACCAGCCCCAGGAGGGGCCCTCTCTCCAACACGGGACCCTGAGCTGAGGGCCAGCCCAATGCAAGACACTCTTGGGGATACAGAAGAGGAAGAGGCCACATTGGCCCCAGGACATGCAGAGAGATGAGGACAAGACCTATCACAGAAGGGTCTGTCAGCTGTTGGGCAGTTCCTCTGTGCCCGAGGGGAGAGGGTCCCTGCAGCTGCCACTCCCAGCCTTCTCGACAGGGACTCAAGAGCTCTGAGTTCTGGCCACCACAGCAGAGTAACCCTGGGCAGACCCCTGGTCTCCCTGGGCCTCAGTTTCCCCATCTGAATTACAATTGGGGTGGACAAGATATTCTCTATACGCTCCTCCATGGTCATTATTTTAGCTTTTTAATCCTGCCTCTAGGATTCCACTTGTCCAGGCCTGGACCATCAGGGTAAGGGACCCAAGATGGGTTTTACCTGCCCCTGTAAAGGTGAGCACGCTCAGGAGACGTGCAGGAGACCTCAGGCTGGGTTTCCATCCACTGGAGAGAAGCCAGGTCTGAGCAAGAAGTCGGGCACCCCAGCCAGAAGCCCTGGGCTGACCTGCCCCAGACCTGTTCCACATGGCAGGGTCCCAGGAGGGGACACCCAGGCAGTGTCTGAGGCTGTCCAGGCAGGGGCTGGGTGGGTGCCTTGACCCCTGCGGAAAATGTTTCTCTAAGGACCCCCAGAGATTCCACTCGTTTTGGCTGGCAGGGCCAGGATTACCTGTTTCCATATCACGGAGAAGGAATCACCGGCACTCATTTCCTCTGAGCCTTGGAAAGCCTTTCCTGCCGGCCCCCACTCCCACCCCCATCAGAGGCTGCCGGGACAGGTAGGTCCCCTGCCTTCCACTATCCCAATGGCCTCCTCCTGCTACCCAGCCTCAAACTGTGAGCTTCTTGAGGACAAGGGTTGTATCGGGCTTCTTTCCGGCTCCCTAGCTCATAGCTCCAGCCTGAAACACCACCCCTTGCGACGTTTGAGAAGGGTGGGAGTGACAAACCGAGGGAGGCCCAGCAAATCCCTTGACCCACAAAGGGCTTCACTGGACTGGAGACAAGTGGGGCTGAGCACCTAGCTTCCCAATCTCAAAATCTCCTTAGTGTGTGTGGGAGTTTCCTAGGGAGAAAGCGGGTGGGGAGCCAGCCCTGGCCAGCACCTCCAGTAGTTTCATCCCCAGCAACTGCTCACCCCGGGTGCCCTTCCCTCTCTTTGGTCTTGATGCTGCCCTTCTCCAGCTGGGCTTCATGCTTAATATAGAGAGGCCTAGCAAGTAAAAAGTAATGTGTCTCCAGGGCCCAGCACAAGGCTGCCTTTGTGTGAAGGTCAGATTCCAGTGTCTCTGTGGCCGGACTTTGTGCAGCTGCTCCCTGTGAGTACAGCCATCAGGGCAGCTCAGAGCTCAGCCTGGGGACCAGAGCTCAGGACTTCAAACTTTTTGGGAGCTCAAAGAGATCTGGGAGCCTCCGAGGGCTCCAGAGTGAACCCTGATTCCTGTGTACAAGACTCCAAGAGCTCCCCAGAGGGGCTGCCAGGGGCTGCAGTTAGATGGAAGGGAGGCAGGGGCTGGCCAGACCTGGGAGGGCCAGACCTGGAAGACCAGACTGTGTGATGCCATCTAGGTCCCAAAGAGGCAGTGTGGCCAGTTAAGAGTTCCGCCTCTTACCGGTTGTATGACTCTGAGAAAATCACTAACCCTCTCTGAGCTCCATTTCCTCTACCAAATGGGAATGATACATATGCTTTCCCTGCTGCTGATATGAAGATAAAATGAAAGAATACAAGAAAGTCTCTTAGCACAGGACTTGGCTCTTATTCAGGGCACAACTGTGTGGGGAAGGAGGACTTTCAGCTCTCCTAATCCCACGAATCCCTCCTCCCCAACAGTCTTTGATAGGGATAGTTGCCTTTTCTCAATCTTATCAAAAGTGCTTTGTGAAAGGGCAGCTTCAAGACCCCTCCCAATCTGTGCCCAAGACCCCTCCCAATCTGTGCCCAAGACCCCTCCCAATCTGTGCCCAAGACCCCTCCCAATCTGTGCCCAATCCCCCTTCTTGCACAGAGACTAGAGCCCAGGGCTCCCAAGCTTCTGGGGAGTCAATGAGAAAGAGTCCAAGCTCCGCTCCAGGCCTGGCACGCGGTGGACACTCCATCCATGAGAAACTGGAACTCATCCACACTCTAGCGCAAAGGCTCCTCCTCCACCCCCAAGGACACCAGGGCTGCAGGAGAGGGTGCTGAGCAGAGCATGGCCCCCGAGCCAGGTCTGTGGGAGCCCATGATGCCTGCTCAGCACTGCCCTGGGAAGCACCTGGGATCCCTCGGTGGCCTCCGCTCTGGGGGCCTGCTGACAACCATGGTTCCTTCTTAGCCCCTCCCAAACTGCCCCTTTCTGCTTGTCACCAGCCCTGGAAGCTGAACTCCCAAAGGCAGAGCACTCAGTCCAGACCTCTAGGCCTAGAGGGAGCTTGCGGTTCTGAGGACAGCTGGAGGTCCTTCTAATGCAGGAGGCCCACTTTGCCCCCACAGCTCCCAGAGAGCAGCCCTCCTTCCTCAGCCTGTCCCTGCCCTTTACAGAGGACCTGTCTGCCCTCAGACTAGGGGTTCTTTGAGGGCAGGAAAGAAGATTGTCCATCTCAGTCTCCCTCACAGCCCAGCACACAGGATGGAGGATCCTGGGGCATGTCTATCTTGGCCGTCCCTGTCAGCTTCCCAAATTCCTGATACACTAGATCGTGATGACCTTGTCGCCTCCCCTGCAGTTGCCCACCCAGGCCCTGCCTCGCCATTAAACTCAGGGCCTTCTCCCTGCCCCCCATCTGGCCTCTGGCTGCTCAGATGCCTCTACTCCAGCCCTGTCTGAAGGCACCCTCTCTGGGACTCCCTCCCCTGCTTGTTTAAAACCTGCCCATGCTGCGTGTCTGCTGCTGCAAGGCTGCCAGACGACAGCCATTCAGATGAAGGCATTGAGGCCCACAGGGCTGGGGATTGTGTGTTTCTCCCTGGGGATGCCAGATGCTTTTCTGGGGCTCCAAGGGACACGGAGCCTCCCCCACGCTGGCTCTCTTCCTGCCCCTTGAATTGCAGGAATGCCAGTGCCATCACTCATGCTCAGGACTTGCTGAGCTCCAGGGTTTTTCTGTGGCCCAGGCTCCTGGTGCCAACACCTGCTCTTTGAGCACCCCAGAGAAGGGATTATAAAGTCTAGGGTGTCTGAGCCTAAGCGAGCTGGTGGGACCTGCTCCACGTGGCTCAGCAAGTCAGCGAGATGCCTTGGAATCCTGGGAGGATGAGCGTGGGAGGCTCCCTGGACCCAGCTGGCCCTATTCCTGGCCTCTCCCCGGTGTCTTTCAAACCATTCTCAGAAACCAGTTGATCCTCTTCTTGGCCCAGTCCCTTCTCCTTTATCTCTGAGGCGAGGGTGGGGGGCATGAGAGGAAACACCCACCCCTACAGTTCAGGCCAGATCCCTGCCAAAGCCACCCAAGACACACGGCCTGGGAGAGGGGCAGCTGACCTGGCGGCACTGACCCTCTGTGCTGGGTACCTATTGTTTTCTTTTTGTTTTTAAATTTCTGTTGTTGTTACAATGTTGTTGTGCAGCCAATAAAAGTGCACAAAAGCTGTATTATTGTTATCATTTTGATGACTCTTCAGAGTCAGAGTAAATAACTCTGCCTTCCTTAAGGCACCATTATTTGATGGTGAAGATCAAGAAAATAATATGTAATGTTTCAAGCCTCCAAAACAAACCTTTCTAGTCTGCACCTGTCTGCCTGCCCCTTGCCCCAGTTAACCAGGCCAAAAATCCCAAGGCATTGCTTATCTGGGCTTTCTCCTGTCCCTCAGCAACCCTGTGCTAGAGATCCAAGTTCCCAAGGCCTGGCCCCAGATGATGTCCTACCCATCTCTATCTCTGGCCTCTCTTCTTCCCAACTTGCTTGAAGAAGAAATCTCCCCCCCTCCCCTTTCCTTTCCATCACGCCTGGCCCTGATGGTGGCCATGAAGGAAGGGGCTTGGTGGAGTCCCTGGGAGCATGGAGACCAGTAAGATCCCCAGCTGCCCCTTCCCGCGGTTCTGTGTGGTGGTCCCCCACACCACCCACCCCTCCAACAGACCCAGCACAGTGCAGTTTCCCGCCCTGCCCCTCCCGGCAACCCCCAGCTGGCTTACCTGGAGCATCCCACTGGGCATTATTCACCTTCTCTGGCACTGAGAGCTTGAGAGCATGGTTCAGGGACTCTTTGGAGAGTGGCTGCCTGTCAGTCAGTGAGCTGGGGTGGTGAGGGGACCAGGAAAAACATTCATTAGAACGTGGGGGACTGGCCTGGGCTCAGGGACTCTGGCCTGGCACACATCTCAGCACACCCAGGGGGACACTGGCACCTCTGTCTCCCACAAATGCTGGGGCCATCCACAGAGGAGACCCCAGTGGGTCAAGGGACAAGACCTCAGTGGTTGTAGGGGCTAACCCTGCCCCCACCCAGCCTCCCTGTAGGCTCTGAGGGCTCGGGAGAAAGGGAAGTCAAGGCCTTCTGTGCTCTACTTCCTGGTGTGACCCTGGGCAAGTTCATGCCTCTCTCGGGGTCTCAGCGCCCCCATCTGGTTGAGGAAGGGGCTGAGGTCTGCACTGGAGGATTCTGAACACCACTCCTGGAGAGGGCAGACTTTTGGGGTGGGGCTGCCCCCACCTGTCACTCCCTGGACCCACCAGTCCCCACCCATGCCCAGAAACTCTGAGTGGGGCTGCAGGTGCTCATAGTGCTCTCAGGGGTCCCTATTCCGGCCCCCAGTGAGGGCCTCCCCTCTTCCATGGAGAAGACAGGAACAGGTCCAGGGAGACCTGAGGCCCGGGGATTTGTACCTTCACCCCTGACCCAGATCCCCTTTGCCTCCCAGGCTCAGTGACGCTGGCTAAAGGGTCTACCCTTCTGGCCAGCGCGAGTTTCATGGGTTTCTGGGCTTTCATTATCATTTCAGCCTGACTGCCCTTCAGCATCATTTTTCCTCAGGGCTCACCTGGCCAGACCTCAACCTCCTACATGGCTGAGCAGATGGATTTCAGTACACACTTCAGGACTGCAGCAAGATTACACAACTCCAGAGACATATTTCACAGTCAACAAATATGTAAACAGAATCCACTGGAGTTGTGCAGCATGCAACCTGTGCAGCTGGTCATGGTGTCCTGAGGGAAGGACCCTGGCTCCCGGGAGTCCTGTCTGTCTGTCAGTCAGGGTGGGGCCAGCCCCGTACCTGCCCAGTTCCCAGGAAGCTGGGCCAATTACCTGCTTCTCACATTCAGCCTTACTCCTTGTCGGCACTGCAGGTTCCGAACAAAACTAAGTTTGTGAACACACCCAGGCCCACCTGGCAGCAGTCTGTTTAAGAACCTGAGATAGGTTTTAAAGTGAAAGATATCAGAAGGTTAGGAAGGGAGGGGAATGGGGAGAAGGGGGATGATTGGGGAACCGAGGTGGCGCCGCTCTTGGGATATTTGTGAGCAAGGCCTGGGCCACAGGGCTGGAGCAGCCCTTCCATTGCTATGGCGACCCGCTCCCGGGAGGTTGTGGAAAAACTGAAGAGATGGCAACGCGTGCTTCCGGGGCGAGGTCTCCTGTGCCGGGCAGACAGAGGCGCCTGAATGCTGCAGAACTCGTCCTCCTGACTTCGGATCCTTGGTTACAGCTCTCTGGGATAGCCAGATAGAAGCTGCCTCCACTTTGGGCTGCAATGTTACCAAACGGCCCCTGAGCTCTGGGTTCAGGCAAACGAGGGACACGTACACTGCTAGGCTCAGGGGCCCACACTGTGATCATCTGGGGAAGACTGTGAACTTGGTTGGTGTCCCTGCCCCATCTCGGCCTGTGTCCTCAGAAGACGGTGGACAGCACCCCAGGTTAGAGTTAGCAGCTCTAATTAGCCTCTGAGATCACCAGCTGGGCAGCCACCTCCACATTAGCCAGGCAGGAGGCTGTCCTTGGCTGTAATGTCCCACCATCTGAACTGCTTCCTCACAAACAAACCTGTTTTTATATTCCTAATCAAAAGGTATGAGCAGCACTTCTCTCCCCACAGAAAATTAGCGTAAACTGGTTCTGGTTTTAAAATAGCTACACAAAGACTAAATGAAAAGACAGCCACCGAAGGAAGTCAAGGGTCAAGCGGACTTATTGTGATTAGAACCTTCTGTTTATAGGGAGGTTGAGGCTGTTGGCAGCACCTTCTTGCTGCGAGTGGGTGCCTTTTCCTGGAGGGCCAGCACCCAGTGCAGTGTCAAATTTCTTGTTGCTCAGACACTGATCTTGTCCAGCAGCCATGGTCAATGAGAGGGTGGACCCTGGCCCTCTGCCAGTATCAGTTTAACAAGAACATCTTGCTTATCCCTGTGGCTGGTCCAAGGCACTGATTCAACTCTCTATGCCCTATGCTTGCAGAATTTGGGGCACATGATTAAGAGAATGTCAAAACCTAATTTTCCAAATGAATTAAGCCTGATCTTTTCCTTCATTGGGGCCTTGAGAGGTAGTCCCTTTGAGGAGATGTCATCCACAATAGAATATGCTAAACCTCCAGTAACTTCCTGCTCACTCAGGGTTATAACCAGTAACAGGCTTTCCTGACCTGACCTGCCACACAGAAACAAGTGAAACTGCTCAGGCCATCTGCCTCTCCTCATTGTGACTGCTGTCTCACCCTCGTTGTTGTTGGTAATGGTCGTCTTTCAGTTTTTGTTTTGTATGTATGTATTTATTTATATTTTGCAGACAGGGTCTTGCTCTGTTGCCCAGGCTGGAGTGCAGGGGCACGGTCACCACTCACTGCAACCTCAAACTCCTAGGCTCAAGCAGTCCTCTCATCTCAGCTTCCTGAGTAGCTGGGACTACAGGCCCGCACCACCAAACCTGGCTAATTTTTGTATTTTTTGTAGAGACAGGGTCTTGTTATGTTGCCAAGGCTGGTCTCCAACTCCTGGGCTCAAGCAATCCTCCCGCCTTCGCTTCCTAAAATACTGGGATTACAGGCGTGAGCCACCATGCTCGGCCATTTTTTAGTTTTTCATCCTCTCCTCTGTGACTAGCAGTCACTTCTTGCTACTTTCAGTATGCTGGCTTCTAGCAATTCATCTCACTCCTACATTGCCATTTCTTTTTGTAGCAGAATAGAAAACAGCCAAGCTCGTTAGAACTGTAGGTTATATCGGGGGACATGTTCCACAATGGAACCTATCACGTTTTCCTTAAAGAAAAGAAGCTGAGGTTTGGGGATCTGCCCCTACTCTATCTTGACTCCTCAAAAACATTTTGGGCCCTACTCCTAATTCTTGCTGCTATTCCAGGAACGACAGGTGGCCATAAATGATTCTACAGGTGAGTTCACATTACTGTCATCATGATCATCATAAGCACGCCGAAGGTGATTAACCTATTATTCCTGTCATTCTGGAAAATTATGCTCCTTCTGGAAGGCAGTACTCCAGAGGTTGGCAAAAGTCACCTAACATGATTGAATGACAATAATGGTGGGAGAATGGCCTGAGGAGGCTGACTGGCTTCTGTTTGCATTTTGAATTTCCAAGAGGAAGAAGAGCCTACGACGGTGGCCCTCTTTCACCCGGATGAGAACAAGGATTCATTCTCTGACCTCAGCTCACATAAGCACACTTTAAGCTCATTGCCTTGCTCTCCTTTCTTTCACAGAAAACAAAAACACTTTATGAGCACCTACCCAGCAGCATGGGAACAAGAAAACAAAGGGCGTGTTTGAGCAAATATGATGTAAGATGTGTGTGGGGGGCAGAAGAGCCTGGGAGCGTCTGCACTGTGCCTTTCTCTTAACCATCTCTTGGTGGATTGGTGTCTCCTTACTCCTACCTTGCCAGAGGAGCTGATGGGAACCATGTGCACACAGAGCCTCCCAAGCCTCCTTCAGCTCCTCTTCCAGGAAGCCCTCCGAGATTTCCCCAACACCCTCTCACCCCTATGGACCTTGGACACTCAGGTTTGGGTTTCGACGGTCACACATGGCTTGAGAGCTGGGGCCACTTCTGATTCAGCTCTGTCCTCTGGCCATGAGTACTCACTGTTGGAGCTCAGCACATATTGGTTGGACCTAAACCTTCTCAAGTTGTCGCTATGTGTGAGACACAAAAATTGAGGAGGGCCCTCATTTCCCATGTGAACACTTCATGGATGAGGATCCGTTTCCTATTTATTTCTGTTGCCCTTTCTTCTCGCTCAGCCCTTAGCAGCCAGGCCACTGTTGTGTATGAAGTAGGTGCTCAATGAATGCTTTCTTGAAACAGGATAGCATCAAAGTTCACCAGTCTGTCTGTCTACTCGGGCACAACTCACTTTACTAGCTGTGTGGCCGAGTCACGGATCCTCTCTGGCCCTCGGTTTTCTGCCCATATCCTGTGGCTATTGCAAGAAGGTGATATATAAGAAGTGCTTAGTACGTAGTCAGCTGTCATCATTATTACTCATGAGCTTTCATGGACCTTTGGGGGCACAAGAAGAAAAAGATAACTTGGCAAGATTGAGAGGGTGACCGACAGAATGAAAAAACCCTAAACCCAAGTCTGGGGGTCCAGGTTCCGTGCCAACTACTTTCGCTGGGAGACTGGCTGGGGGCCGGGAGGCGGGGGAAGGTGGGCTCCTTGTTCCTTACACGGTCCTCATAATGGAGCTGGCAGACCTGAGCAGGAACACCTCTGGCATGGTGCCTGGGGGGTGGCTGCAATCTGTGAGCTCGCCCAGGAGAGAGCCAGAACCTCAGAGAACGTGTCACGGAGTCCCCCCGGGAGAGCCACAGCAGCCCCAGAGAGGCCCAGCTCCACCGGACCGCCCTGCAACAGAGATACAGCGTGAGTCACTGCTGGCAGCCTGGCTAGGCGAGGGGACAGCTGCCCTCTTTCCTGGCCATGACTCATCTGCTCCTGGGGTGGGACACCTGGCTGTAATTTACAGCCTGGCCTCGTAAGCCCACACCTTCAGATTCAAAGGAGAAAACCTTATAGCAGGTGGCTGCCTTGGGGATGTGGTCTCCATTCCCCATGGCCAACTAATTAACAAATAGCTAAAATCTCCAGGACTCCTGCTTTGCAGAGACTTCTGGCTACCATTCACCAGCCTTCCTGTCACTTCTGGTAGTTCTCACCTCTCTCTGCTCGGTGGGCAAAGCAGAACTGACTCCCCAATGGCTGGAGAATGTTCTCCATGGCAGGTGTTGCCTGACTAGTTCCCCATATCCTAACAACCCCAAACAGGGAGAA